AAGGAAATGCCAAGATAGAGGGAACATTGCTAATAAAGCGAAATAATATCCACGTGTGTTGAGTATAAGATCATTAGGTAAATATTAGAAAATGATAATAGGTTTCTTTAATTAAGGAAAAGTCATTGAAGCACAAATATGAAAACAATAAATTGTGGAGGAGAATTAAGAAAATAAGAGCACGTGTGAAGATTTGTTTGCTTTCACTGCCGACACTGCTGGCTTACTCTTATGCTTGATGTGCAGTAAATGTGGAAAGATGTTCCAAGAACAGCGAGATATCTCGGTGTTTACAGGCCTGAACTTCTATGTAATACTAAAATGTGCTCAGTTTAATATGAGTCATTTGCGCAAGTACAGCTAGTACTCACAACGACCTGCACAGCTTTACAGCCACCATGTTTCAGAGCGGGCTTACACATCATATTAGATTTAATTCCCCTGTTTCTCTGCCTGTCATCCTAGCACCTCCGTAGCATAGTGATTAAAATATTTGTGCAACACACAAAAGACTCCCAAGACTGTGAGGAAACATGAACTGAGAGACTTACATCAGTCTTGTATAAAGACATGTGTGAAATCGATCGCCTTGCAAATAAAGGAGCAACTAAGAGAAGTTTTCTTACTTTTTACCATAAATGCAAGAAAACATTGTGTTATTGTAATGTTACTGTTACTGTTATTGTAACGGGCGACCGTGGTCCAGGGGTTGGGAAGCTCATCTCGTAACCGAAAGGTTGCCGGTTTGATCCCCAGCTCCTTGGGCAAGACACTTCACCTACCGCCTACTGGTGATGGCCAGAGGGGCCGATGGTGCGATATACCTCATATATGAATACAGAACTTTGGTTAAAAATAATTCTATTCATAGTAAAAGCTGCTGACCTCTGACCTCTGCCTTGGACATAGCCACTTATAGGAGTGTGATGTTAAAGTCAAGCCCTTCGTACAACAACGTCTTCAAATAAGTTGGTCCTGACATTCAATATGTTTCCTTCAAAACTTTGAAAAGGTGAGACTGATAACTGTTAAGACACTGGTTCAAAAGCGCTCAAAAACGTTCAAGAAATAAAGGAAAAAAGAAAAAGAAAAAAGAGTGCTCAACGGTAAAAATGTAATTCACCTTTGTGTACTTAAAAAGCGCCACAGTTCACTTTCGCTGAATATTAACAAGCGCTATGATGACCTTATAGAGTCCAGACATGGGTCACATGCTCTGTAGCAAAAACAATGACATATGTGACCATACGCGGAAGATGGAACAACAAGCGGGGAAGGTCAAAGGTCATAGTTAAGAAACAACAGGGAGAGTGTAGAAATGAATTTATTCTAATCGTGTTCTTGTTTGGTTTTCTTTACAGTCAATGTCGGGATGATGAGAGGACTGTCAGGTGAGAATATCCATCCATTTATCTGAGCATCTATTCATGCATCAGTAAGAAGGACAGTAACAGTTGGGTCAGCAAAAACAGTTCAAATGAGACATATTGAATGTGATGGTTCAGCTGATGACAGAACATGAGACAGCTCATAAACGATACATGAACACAAGCCAAACAAGCATGAGCGTCCATCTTTACCATGCTTCATCTCAGTTATTGTTCAGTTTTTCCAAAGTCACGCACACAAAACAGGACTTTTGTCTTCTGCTGTCTTTCCTCTCAGCTTCCGACAGTTTCAGCACAGAGCCCACTCCCCCGCGGGTGAGGAAAGTCTGCAACGAGTCCCGTCTGCAGTGGGAGGTGGAGGTCTGTGGAGAGGGATTCAAGGAGGACATGACTCACATAGATCCACAGAACTGGTGTAACCTCACACACTTCATCAGGTACCACCGCATTTGAAGACTGACGCTGATAGGCTGTTAGCAGGTTGCAGGCGAAGTCAGTTCACAGTGAGAGCAACAAACAAATGGAACAGAGATATCTGTAGCCCCAATATTATTCTTTATAAAAGTAGATTAAGACTAAATAAATTAACTTTAACAAATTTAAAGTCTTCAAATATAGAAACTTTATACTTATAGTTGGACCACACAGTAAGGGGTCAGAATTTATAAAAAAGATCACAATGTTTTATTTAATCACAAAACCCAAACTCATCAGGAAAATGTTTACTGAAGTCATAAATCAAGTGAGCAGAAGCATTATTTTCTCGTAGATTTCTTTACAGCTCGACTTCTTTTATTTTTCCAATAGCACAAGTCGCCCCCTGCTGGCCATTAAAAACATGCCTATGCTGTGACACAATGAAGGACTCCTGTCGAAAAAGGGAAACTACTGATAAGCCTAGCGGGAATAAAATCTGAGGCTGGCAACGAAAACAAAGTTGTGTATATGCTGTGCGAGGAGCATTGGATGATGTTAAGCTGATTTAATACAAAACTGCCATTAAATTGTAGAAACAAGCAAAGAAAAAAGTAAAGGGTCACAAGTGTATAAAGTACATCAAAAACCATCTGCAAGGGATCTAAAAAGCTCTACTGTTGTTTTATTTATGTAACATAAATTAGACGGGCTGCAGCCGTCATCGCTGAGGTAAAGAAACGTCTGTGCAGCATCCGTCCAGCTAGTAATGACCTACAGTTTAGTGTGGTTACAGGAAAAAAAACGATCAGAGCCTGCAAAGACTGGAGGATATAAAAGAAGGAATTATGGACACTTTTGCTTGAAGACCTGCAAGCAAGTGAGAGGGAGCTGCAATATTTGTGTCAAACTATATCAATCAACCTGTAATCAGTGAGTTGATGGTGGTAATGCTGGGTATCTGTGCACGTTTAATGTCTGCCAGTATTTCTTCAGCATTCTGCATAGTCGTGCACTTATGTGCATCAAGTATCTCAGGCATTAATTTTGACACACGCAGTATAAGTTCAGTTTTAATTGCAGGTTAAGGAATTTATCGCAGCTGGATCTGTTTTTGTAGAATCCCCAAATGGCTCATCCTAAGCACTTGTTCTCCTCCCATATGTTCCCAAGGAGATTCAGCCCTGCACCTGTTTGCCTGCCTCTTATATAATTGCTTGCCTCTCTATAAATTTGTGCTTTTTATTATAGATTTCTTTATTAATTATCATTTCTCTTAACAGAGGAAAGATTTCCTCTTTTTAAAGACTGAGGTCATAAATTCTTCCCGCTCGCCTAAAATGAAGTGGTGATCTTGAGAATAGTGGACACTCTCTGCTACGGACGCACATCTTTGGAGTAAATGAAAGTGTCGCCTTACATTAGCGCAACCTTAATTTGACAATGACAAAATAGCACATGTGCTCTCCGGAAAGAGCACTGGAAGCTGCTTTTACAAGGTATGCCAGAGGATATTTGTCATTTTGCACAAAGCAGCTGCTAATGATAAAATACATCTGGACACCAAAAAGCCACCCACATTTTAAAGCTTTTATCTTTATCATTCCTCTTTTTCTCCACTATTGTTCTCTTCCTGTCAGAGTGCTGTATACTTGTAATTTCAGTTGGTGAGCTGTTAGCTGTGCATTGATGCCAATTTCCAAAAAAAACCCCAAAACACTCAGACAGATAGACTGTAATCCATCTCGGCCTTCTGCAGCTGGTTGAATGTCTGTGGGTTGGAGAGCCGTTGGAGGCATGCCTCCAAAGCTGGAGCTGTTTTTTTTTTGGTGTTTTTTTTTAAAAAAAAAGAAAAAGTCCTGACCACCCATCTGCATCTGTCTTTATCCAGCTATTCCATCTCATTCCTTTCTCTGACCTTTGACCTCTTGCAGTCTTTGCCCCCCTCCCTTTACAACAACTGCAGAGGCTGAAGGCGCAGGAGTCAGCTATAAGACCGGTATCTTGCATAATAACACACACACACCGGAGTCTAAATAATGGTCTGAGTCACTGATATGAGGCAAGATTTCTGGGAATAAGGGCCACCACCTTCACCAACTGGTCATATCCTGTGTTTTCCATTTTAAATCGTTTTCTCTCTGTTTTTCTTGGAAGACTTGTCAGAGCTTCATGGTGATTTTCCTGAAACAAAATATATTTGTGCTGTTGGCTGCAGAGTCCTGATTAACAAATCAGGATGGCTTTGTCAAATTGTGCTCCGTTGAAGACTTTTTTTTTTCATGTTGAAGATTGGACATAGAAATTAATTTAAAAAGCAACTTAACTTAAATTCAAATTGGCTGTACAAGTAGCTTGTAGACAGTTGTGAAAGAAGCCTCCCACAAAGACTTATAACTGGATTCTTCAGTCCCTCAGTCAGACAGTTTTGGCTTTTTCTTTTGGATTTCCTTCACATTATTGTTCAGCTTCACTACTGCGGCTCTCATGAACTGCTCAGCACCAGTTAACAGACTGGCAAAACATGACTGCTGATGTTCTTAATACAAATGTGGCCATTAGTAGCTAAAGAACCAAAACCAACAAACCAACGCTGTATTTAATTTCATTTTATTTAGAACTTAGAAACTGTGGATTTACTGGTTTAACAAGAGAAACATTTTAAATTAATAATTTGCTCACAGTGGGGATAGAGTGCTGCTGACATAACCTGAGGACATAGCCAGGCGGTGACTTCAATGATCTCCTCATTCCCACGGATACAGCCTCTGTAGAGAAAACAGAGTCTAGGCCCAGTTAAACAACTCCTGAACGAACCCCGGGGGTTTATGAAACTCTTCCTGAGTTTCTTAAGGCTCTGGATGTCGTGGGGCTGACTTGGTCGCACCATCTTACAGAAGTTGTGGGTGGTGCCTCTGGACTGGTAGACTTGGGTGGTGGTTCTAGAAGATAATATGTAGCGTGTGTTGTAACTTCAGGGAGACCCAAACACTGGACCGGTTCTGTTTTGTGTGTTGCAGATGATCTAGTTCTTTTTAAACTGTAGCAAGAACTTGGTCTCTCTCAGTCACTATTTTTTGATGGGTGTTGGACTCTATCAGGCTGCCCTTTGTCATTTTGTTCAACTTTTATGGACAGAATTTCTAGGTGCAGCTGAGGCGTTGAGGATCTGTTCTCTTCTTTTTTACAATGATGTGGTTTTGTTGTTGCTCACTTGGTGTTGGGAATGAGTTGCTGCACCAGGTAGAGGAGTTTAAGTATCTCGAGGTTTTGTTTACAAGTGAGTGAATAAGGGAGATAATAGGAATAGTAAAGCCTCTGCAGTAATGTGCATGTTGTGTCTGTTGTTGTGAAGAGAAGGTTGATCTACACCCTACCCTCGCCCACAGTCACAAGCTGTGGGTGGTGACCAAAAGAAGGAGACTGTGGATACAAGCAGCTGAAATTAGATTCCTGTGATGGGCTCGTCCTTAGAGATATGGGGAGGAGCTTGATCATTCATGCTGCTACTCCTCCACACAATGAAGAGCCAGCTGAGGTGCTTCGGGCATCTGTCCAGGATGGCTCCTAGATAAGATGTTTCTACCATGTCGTACTGGCAGGAGTCCTAGTGCATACCCAGGACAACAAAGCTGCTTGATTTGGTGTCTCCCTGGATGAGCTGGAGAAAGTGGCTGGGAATAGGGAGGTCTAGGGGTCTCTGCTTAGGCTGCCGACCCCCGACCCTGAACCCACATAAATGGCAGGAAATGGATGGATCAAAATAATCATTTGCATCTAAATCCATTAAATTAAAGTTATAATGGTGAGTCAAGCTAACAGCTCCCCTGGCTCAGTGTCAAAACCCTCTGACCGGTTTCACAATGAAAACTCCTGACTGTAAACCAGACACAATACGACACGGGCTGGAAACGAGCCAAATTCATTATTTAAAGGCTATAATTAGCTTGTGTGTTTTGATCAGGGAAGTTGTCTCTGAATAAAAAAAGCTTAAATAGTGTTTTTTTAGCAGATCCTTTCAAGTGCTATTTTAAATCTGAAGTGCAGGATGGGTGGCGTAATGTCTGGTTTCTTCTTATTTTGCTCACCCGTTGCTGTTCCAGTCGTGCTCACTTAAACTGAAGGATGTAGAAATGGATTTTTTTAAGAGTCTAAGTCACTGTAATCCTAAATCTGATCTGCCAGTGATGTCTGACATATAAGAGTGATAGAGAGATGAAACCACTTTGCCTTATTTTGCCTTTCCATAATCTTTTCCTGTGTGAGTCCATATTTCACGAGACGATTCATTTGTGTACAGCAGTTCATTTACATGACAGTGAAGGATAAAATGACTTTCTCAGCAGCAGTGTACTTTGGAGCCTGGAAGTAGGCGATAAGAATGAGAGAGAAAGCGAGAGAGGGAGAGAGGGAGAGAGGGACGACACGAGCGGAGCCAGAAAGTGGTGACAGGGATCGAGCTCGGAGAGCGAGCAGCCTCATGTTTAAACAAGCGGTGACCCCTGCAGAGCTTCCTCCATTTGACAAATGAGCCGTGCCTCTCTGCAGTGATTGCTGCTGGCCACTCACTCAGCCAGCACAACTGTTATTGTTTGAAATGAGACAGTACAAGCTTGTCAGGTCACAGAGAAGGGCATGGATAGACCACTGAGAGGCTGTGTGTACTGTGCGTGCATTTATGCACTTCAATCATTTACTTCTAATAACATATTAATTTTCTGCCCCGAGCAGTTTACGGCTCCAGGAGAAGCCGTACTGTAAGACTTAATGTTGTGCACACAGGAACAGCGGTGATGGTCTGGACCTCTAATAATGAATTCACCGTTGTGTTTGGTCTTTGTGTGGAACAGATGCTGCTCTAAAGTCATCAGAGGTTTTCTTTTTGTTTTCCGGGCTGCTACTAATGATAAGCGATAGAACATTTAGATGAGGAAACCTTATTCTAAGTGGGTTATGTTGTCATAACACACCACTGATACCAACAGCTGTGAGCCTTCTGGAGAGTGAAGAGAGAGGACTGGGA